ACTAAATCTGGAAGTTTATAATCTCATGCTTTGAATAAAATTCCATCTCTTAGACACCTAATGTTTTGAAGTCCACAGCTTCATCCTTTTTACAAGTATGATTAATACATCTTCTAAGCAATGCTTAACTCATAATGACTAGGACAGTCACTTAGGATGTTCACTTTTATTTCCAGTTACAAAATCACACATTTAAAAAGATGTTTATCCACATTATCTTCCATTTAATCTCAGCCTAGGAGTTTTAAAGGGTGATTCAATTCATAGGTACTTCAATGCAATTTTCTAGTGGGTATTAAGTTCACTGTTAAAAAAGAGCCAGAGGTGATGGATTTACATTAGAAATTTAAACTTATTTAGTGAATATATTTTCAGGATTCTGAAGGAAACTATGTGTGCTTACAAGTGCAAACAGTAGGTATGGGAGCCAACATAGAACGACACAAGTTAAAATAGGTGGCTAAAGAAGAGATTAAAAGATGTTTTTTATTTTAATGCAAGTCTAAAGACAAGTCCAGTATAAAATACAGAACCCAGAACACAGTCCCTAGCTTGCCAGGTATAGCACAGCAGCAACAGGTCCTCAAGCCTGCCCACAGTACAATTAGAAGGGTCTGCTGAGAAACCTTCTGAATATTCTTTGAATTCCTAGGCTTAAAGCCCCAAGGATTTAGAAATAAATAGCAAAGGAATAGAAAGTTAACTATCAAACCTACCTTGCAGATTCTGGATCCAAAATCAGAGCTTCTATTGCATGTGAAATCAACAGGCAGCTCTGCTGTTGTCTGATATAATACTAAGGAGTAAAAAGACTTACAAAGTTGGCACCTAAACCAAGAAATGCAGTATATTTACTGGCACTTTTCCTTATTTCTCTAGCTTTTGTGAAGTCATCCTACAGTCATTACTCCCTTAGTAAACATAGAGCAAGAACTATGAAAATCCCGTGTTTTACGCTGTTGCAATTTTTGTGTCAGAACTTGTTCATAAAGTAATTCCAAACTATAGTATAGCAACGTTTATTTCCAAGTAGGTTTTAAGCAATTGGTACTGAATTTTTATGTTACTAACTGCTTCAAAATGACTTTGTGCCAGTCTTCATAGAAAATAGGACTGTTAAGCTTCATGCTTGAGAAGGAAAGTGGACAAATTCTAAGATTTTAAAAGGATACAGTTCTACATTCCTTAGAGTCGCTGAGTCTGCGTCAAAAGATGACTGATACAGATCTCCATACCGTGTAGCCAGGTTTCGGAATTCCTCCATTGAGTGTTTCATCTGCAGAGACAATGTTACAAGTCAAAAAATCAAATCAAAGCAAAACACACAACACCCCACACATCCAGAAAACCACTACACTGTAACATACAACACTGAAGTAATAAGATAACATACTCTGGCAAAATATGTAAAGTTCTTGCTTCTTCACACAGATAAAAATCACCAAAGTGACAGCCTATTATCAACACATTAACCAGTCATTTTTCCTGTAACACAGCACCAACATACCCTCCTTGGGTTAAAAATAAAGCAAAACAAGAAAATCTTCACCAACAACCTCCCCCATCCCCTACTGGTAAATCAAACTGCTCTGTCTTTCAAAGACTACCCACTGATTTCTTCTTGCAGACTCCATGCATTTTAGAAGCAGACTGTCTTGGTGTTCTGTACGGTATCAAGTCAATTGCCAACACTCATCAAAAGCAGTTGCAGTACAATCCTAAAGTACATATTCTTCCTTAGTGTAATCACAGTATCTGAGGTGTTTCAAAACAAGGTGCGAAAGGTCTTGCTGCAAGTTTGAGCGTAGCGAGTAGCTTACTATATGCATGTACTTGGAAGCTGTGTGCATGAATGTATGAGAACACATACATACATGCGCGACTTCAAAATATGGCCTGCTACAGGCAGGCATTTTTATAGGTACAGGTGAAAACCAATAGGCCCACTATTTAGCACAACTCTTCACTTCCACTTTTCATTTCTTTCATCAGATATGTTTGCCAAGAAGCAAAATTCATACCAGAGTCATAAACGTAACTGCACAAGAGTGGAACAAGAACACATGCCTGGTTAGAGATGCGTCCACACCTTTGGAGATCATTTCCTGACGTCATAGCAATTGTTGTGGCAATAGCTGGTGGTGGACTTGTTTTTAGGCTGTTGCAGGTACAAATAAGTTGAGAAAAAGCTTGCAGAAGGTCAATCCTGAGTTTCACAAATCCACACTGAAAGCTTAGAGGATTAAGCGGCGTACTGGCAGCCTGAAACACAGTAATAGGAACGCTGGCAATCTAGGTCAAAAGCAAACATGATAAAATAACTTCGCAATGTCACTGAACTGTCTCATCAGACAACTGAACCCTTCAGTTCAATTCTAAAAGCTGCTTTTTTAAAACTACATGTAACAAACTTGCTCAATTTAAATCATACCGAGTATGAAGGACACAGGAGTTAGGTAATTACTAAGCAGTATTTCAAGCATATCACCCTTGTAACAAATGTGACTTAAGCTGTTACAATGCTATTAGGGCACCTATTTTCTCTTTTCCAAGGCCAAGCCATTAGGCTTCAAATGACCTTAGTCCAGACAGTCCTTACCATAAGAGAGAGCACACTGAACTGGAAGGCAAACAAACACAAAGGACTGAAAAAGTGCTTCTCTGCATAAGCCAAAAGAGAAAGAATTGGCTGAAGTTACCTGCAGCAAGAGAAAGGGTGATAACCTTTCATTTTTTTGGAACTGTGAAACGGACAGGAACATTACAAAGGCACCGAACCTTGCACTTGATGAAGGTAGAGACGCAGTTCAGTGACAACTAAGAACAGTAAATAACAAAAACTGCAGGAGGGTAGACATGCTGCTATTATTTAGAAAATATGGTTCTGTGAAAGTTTGCTCCCTAATAGCTTATCTGACTTGTAGAAGCATCTGTGACAGCTTAGGACACCCAGGAGGGGGTAAATTGCAGCACTCAAGATTTTATACTAGTTAAACCAAAAATCCACTACTTATTTTTCTTATACTGTTTGATTTTGAGAAAAGTACACTTTTTTCTGTCGGGGAAAAAAAAGCCATGTGCAAAACAAAGCACTGGAACCTTCTCAGAGAATGGATGTATGTTAAACTCATGCATGTCTTCCCCAGTGCTTCTTATTCCTCAACAGAAAAGGTCACTTCTGGAAGCAAGAAGTTATAACCCATCCCAAAACCTCACTAAGAACCATTTCTTTGCTGGCAGGAAAGCAGCATACTAGTTTCTCACAAAACATCACGTCATCTGAGAACCGGCCCACTATTGACTAAAGTGAGGAAACATCAGCCAACTGCAGCCACTCTAAACTACTGAGCTAGATTTCAGCCAAAGAAATAAGACTTTTTCATCACTTGAGCCATTCAGCCCCTCTTATCTACCACTTTGCTTTCCCTTCTCCAAGGGCATAAAAAAAATCCCTTTTGAATGGAAATTGTTCAGTTTATTCTGTGAGGGTGGCTTCAGAAAACCCTCTGTGGAAGAGATCTCATTGCACTGTAATTGCTCTACAGAGACTACATGCTTTTATAGAGAGTAAAGTAACAGTACTTATATCAGAAAATCCAGACATTTTTAGTAGCACAAATTGGACTCGATTCTTGTAAATGGAAATACAAGCTTGTCTCATTAATACTGCAATTTGCCTTATTTGCTACCCTTATAGCCATGGGCAATACATGAGTTACAACTCTTTTTTGAAAATGACAGAAAGAGTTCTTCGGCTCAGCGAAGTTCTTCAAACACCACCACTCGTTATCAACATATTTGCAGTTAGTGCTACTTAATCAACGGTTATATTAGCGCTTTGTTCAAGTTCTGTCTCTTGTCTAGATTACCAGCAGTGAAAAATAAGCACAGTGCTTCCAATGAGATTCACGTTCTGTGCCAGAAAGAGCGGGTCCTATTCAAAACCTCTGCTAACTATACAAGCAAGTACACAGCAAGACAGATGGGGATTGTGGCTGGTACGCCCTATGACAAGTCCCTGCCCTCCTCCCCAACACTTCCAATCCATAAAGTAATGGGACTTTTTTCCTCAAGTGCACTAACTCACAGGAAAGAATATTTTGCATACAGCAATGCAAGACAGACAGTTGCATGTATATCAAGAAGGAATTGAGAAATTTGCTGACAAGATCAGACACTGTCTGAGTATTTCACCATTGCTAAACTGGGCTGGCCGAACATCTGCAACAGATTTACTGGCAGTGTCTCTCAGCTACAAAGTGGACAGCTACACAGGGTTCATCATACGCCCTAATGGTCTGCAGCACCAGCAGTCCTGAGTCATGGTCTACACTGAAACGGCAGCAACAGTAAAGCTGAAGTCAGAGGGAAGAGACAGCAAAGTCCTCAGCAGTAAGGCTATCACATGTACTTTATGGCACCTTGCTCCCCTTTGAGATGTTGAGTTCTGTAGATGCAAGCAGTGAGTGGCTCCTTTTACAGCTGATACACTCAAGCATGGTTAGGATTTGTCCAGGGTGATGCAACAAGTCAGTACCAGCCAGCAATAAACCCAACTTCCTCTTCTCTACCCCTCTGAAACCTGTACTTACTCCTCTGGACCACAACCACCCAGAAGGAAGTCCTTTTCTGGGTGCAATACCTATGTGTAACATGCAGGAAGTGAAGTCAGCAGAGGAGATGAAGACAGGAATCCTTCAACAGAAAACAACAAAACAAAACAAACTCTAGGGAAAAGCTAATTAAATTATTGAATCACAGAATGACCTATTTAAGCAAGTTATTTTCCTGCCTGTATTAAATATTAACACCTGATTAGATGAGGTCCCCCCCTCAATGTCTTCTAGACATTAGAGAAACCTTGAAACATTGAATTAAGACTTCTCTCAGAGGACAAAGATGTAAAATTTACATCCTTCCTGCTTACTCAGGGACAGTTTATTAATAAAACAGTAATATCTGAACTTCATTAAACACATGTCTGAATTGCCATGACACCGACAGTTCCAGTAATTGCAAAAAAAAAAAAAGGCAGCTTCATTCAAAAGACATACAAACTGTATGTAAAGATTTATTCATGGAAACTAAAATATGAAAGAAAGTATTGTGTGAAGCTGGATTGTCTTTTGTTAAGACGCAACTTCACAGTAAGAACTGAAGGTCCACATTCATTAATGCTTTTTTTGTTTACATTCACAGACATCACACACAGAGCTTCTTGCTATTTTCACCACTTCAGAGAAGTAGAAAGTATTTGCATAAAAGCAGGTACCACCTGAATTCTGCTGATCTGATGAGATTGAATTGTCCTCCCTCCTCTTACTAAATTGGTGTTGCCTTGTTGTTAGGATTCCGTAGGATCACATTGTCAAATAGAAGGCAAAATGAACTCAGCAGGGGGAAGACAATTAAATCCTCCATATCTTGAGAAGACAGCAGCCAATTTAGACAAATTCCCAGGCTTGACTATTACAGTAGTGTTTATTCAGCCAAGACAAGGAGCAGAAGATTTTAAGTACTGTAACTTTAAAAAAACATAGAAACATAGAATCATTTAGTTGGAAAATACCTTTAAGATCATCCAGTCCAACCATTAAC